TTATTTAAATATATTTTGATTTCCGTCATGACTATTCAAATTTTTGACCCTCTATGGAGTAGGTTCCGAAGGAAAGGGCTAATATTGTCCCTTTCGTATCGGACCCGAATAAATATGCTATAAATATTGCGACGTGTCCCGGTTGGATTATATAGGTTACTTCCTATTCAAAACTTGGCCCTTTGTAGGGGAGGAACCAGAAGGAATGACCCGATTTCTACCATCTTCATAACAGATCTTTTGTTGACGGAAATATTGAGATTTACCAAGTCTGGAATGGAATCGGATGTTTTTTCGCGTTTTATTAGCTTCATGGAAATTCAAAATTTTGACCCTTTTTGTGGAGGAGGTACCAGAAGGAGTGGACCGTTACATTCCATCTTCACTGCAGACCTTGGATTAATAAAAATATAGAGATGCGTGTAATTTGAAGAGAATAGGGCTCTAATTTCACATTTTACATGAGTTCAGATTATTCTAAATTTTGACCTGGAGATACTTCTGAAGTATTCACTGAAGTGGACAGATATTGTTCATTTTCGCACCTGACCTAACACTGACGAAGATATTACAATTTGCAAAGTTTTCACAAAATTGGATAATCCTTTCGTTTTTCGCTTAATTATTTTCTGTGAAAATTTGGGGGGTGAGGTACCAGAAGGAGTAGACCGATATTGCCCATTTCCGAAATTGGCTGAGGGTATATTTAATCTAGATTTAAATTAAGAACTTGGAAGATATGTTACTTCATTATAGACACCAACAGTGATCCAAAATTAGTACCATTTAGTAGTTTTCGAATAATTACGTACTACGTATTTGCAATACCATCACCAGATTTCAACTCCAGATACTAACAGAGACCACAATATGAAATTTCGGTATTCCCTTCACCCATTACCCGATCTGCATGTGCTTATCCAAGACACCAACAGTGATCTAAAATTTGTACGCTTCCAAAGCCGCCTCCATTTCTTAATTTCAGATACAGAGGCCTTAATATCAAAATTCTGGATTTTAGCGCTATTCCTTCAACCAATTCCAAATTAAGTACGAATTTGCAAACTATCTCCATATCTCAACTCCAGATAGCAACAGAGACTTCCATGTCAAATTTCCAGCCCCATGTAAGGATTCCAGCCCCATCCCTTCACCCAATACCCTATCTACATCTCTACTACTTTTCGAACAATTATAGTGCACATTTCCGAAACTACCTTCATATCTCAATTCCAGATACCAAAAGGAGACCGTAGTTCAGTAAATGCCAAATTTGGTACCATTCAGTACTTTTCGTACAAATGTAGAACTGATTTCCAAATTACCGCCAAATCCAAACACAGATACCATCAAAAATTAAAATATTATATTTTCGAATTTTATCTCTATCCCTCCACCCGATACCAAAAATACCTTTTCGTACTTTTTGTACAATTATACTACACATTTCCGGAAACATATCCATATGTCCAGGCTACACATGAATTGTATATAATAATTGTACCAAATATAGTACTATTTATTACTTTTCGTGCATTTGTAGTACACATTTCTAAAACAACCCCTTATCACAAACCTACCACCCCAAGAGGGACCCCAATATCAAGTTTCAAAGATCCAGCTTCATCCGCTCACTTAGAACCAAACTTTTCCAAATTTAGTACAGTTCGCAGACTTACTATCCGTTTCCAAAACCACTATCTTATATCAAACTTATTTTCCAAACTTGATTCTCATTCCGAATTTCAAGTTTTTAGCTCGATCGGTTCAGTTAATAACAAACGGTATCATTTTAGAATTTTGGTACCATTTTTGAACTTTTCGTAACCTAAAGCACGAATTTCCAAAAATTCGTTTCTGCACTCAGTGACTCTTCCAATACAAAGCATTCAATTTTTAGTACTCTCCGTACCATGTACGAATTTCCAAAAACCCAGCCTTATCTGACGCCTTAGGACCAAGACTGACCCTCAACCAAAATATCAAAATTCGAGCATCAGTTGTTTCGTCTGGGCTTTTATCAATATACGGATTTCCAAAACTACCTCCATACCTCAATCGTACAATGCCATAGAAATGTTATTTCCAAATTTCAGAATTCCAGCTCTACAATTCAATTCCAATTTGTATCAATTTTAGTACCACTTAACACATATGTCCACAACAGCCTGCATCATGCAATCCAATAAAAATCGTATTTTCCAGTGTCAGGATTCCCGCCCTATTGGTTCACCCAACGCCTAATTATTCCAAATTCAGTACTATTAAATACACAAAAGTACGAATTTCCAAAGCTTTCTACATACCACTATCCTATACTCCCACTGTAACCCCAATTCTAATTTTTAGGATTCCATTCCTGTCGGGATAGCCAAAATACAAATTGTACCAAACTTAGTACCATATAGTAAAGTTTGGCCCTAATTTTCAAAACTACCTACATACCTCAATATTACAATGCTATAGTAATCTTGTTTCCAATTTTCAGAACACCAACTCTTTTGGTTCACCCAAATCAAATTGTACTAAATTGTGTACCATATAGTACACTTAAGTACAAATGTTCATAACTACCTAAATATCTCAGTCCTACAATGCAGTAGTAGTATTTGAAAATTTCAGTATTCCAGCTCGATTGGTTCACCCAAATCGAAATTGTACCAAATTTAATACCATTTAGTACTTTTCGTGCACATAAGTACAAATTCCTCCTTAACCAAATCCCCTACACTCCTCCAGTTTCCAATTTCAGGATTCCAGCTCCATCCGTTCCTCTAAATTCAAATCGTACTAAATTTAGTGCCGTTTAGTGCTTTTTTAGTGCGTATACATGAGCACACACTTTCAAAACTACCTCCTTACATCGACTCTACTCCTCAACCTTGATTCCCATTCCAAATTTCAAGTTTCAAATTTAGCACTAACCGTTATCATGCTACGAAAAAGCAGCAAATGTATTAAATTTTAGTACTTTTCGTACACTTCTAGTGTGAATGTCCGAAAACCCTTTAGTACATCTGTCACAGATTCCATCAGTGACTCTCATTTCAAATTAAAGAGTTCTAGCTCTACTTCTTCATCAAATACAAAGGATATCATATTTAGTACCTACTAACACTTTACGTACCCTTCTTGTACGAATTTCAAAAAACCCAGCTAAATCGGACCCTGAGTGACCCTCAGCCAAAATTTGCTAGAATGCTTTTCACCTTTTATACCCTCCACCATAGTATGGAGGGTATATTATGTTTGTCATTCCGTTTGTAACTCCTCGAAATACTCATGTCAGACCCAACAAAGTAACTTGATCAGCGCAAAATTCTAAGTCGATTAATCAATGTCCGTCCGTCTATCCGTCTGTGGAAATCTCTCTAGCTTCCGAACGAAATGCAGTAGGTTATAAACAATTTTACTCAAATGTGTATTATGTCTGCAGAACTTTTGGTATTGAAAATGGGTCATGTGGGTCCACGTCTTCGTATAGCACCCATATAACGGTACCTCCCGATATTCGATAGCGACATTATTTACTGGAATTGTTTCAAATTTGGTATTTGAGGTTCGAAATGGATACTACATCCTAAGACAGAAAATTGTCTATGCAGGTCCAGGTTTTCGTATAGGCCCCAAATATCAGTACCTCCCTATATTCGGTATTTTAACGATTTTAGGTACAATACCCACCAAAATTGTTTGAGATGTGGTATTTGAAGTTCGTAATGGATGCTACAGCCTGTGACAGAAAATTGTCTATGCTGGTCCAGGTTTTCCTATAGCCCCCATATAACGGAACCCCCTGATATTCGGTATTTTGATGATTTTAGCGACATTATTTACCGGAATTATTTCAAATTTTGTATTTGAAGTTCGTAATGGATACTACAGCCTATGGCAGAAAATTGTCTGTGCAGGTCCACGTTTTCGTATAGCCCCCATATAACGGAACCCCCGATATTGGGTATTTTGATGATTTTTGCGAAAATATTCGCCGGAATTGTTTCAAATTTGGTATTTGAAGTTTGAAATAAATACTACAGCCTAAGACAGAAAATTGTCTGTGCAGGCCCACGTCTTCGTATAGCCCCCTTATATCAGTACCTCCCGATATTCTGTATTTTAATGCTTTTATAGATATTTTTTCACCAGAATTGTTTCAAATTTGGTATTTGAAGTTCGAAATGGATACTACACCCTAAGACAGAAAATTATCTGTGCAGGTCCACGTCTTCGTATAGCCCCCATATAACGGTACCTCCCGATATTCGGTATTTTGATGATTTTAGCGACATTATTTACCGGAATTGTTTCAAATTTGGTATTTGAAATTCGAAATGGCTATTACAGCCTACGACAGAAAATTGTGTGTGTAGGTCCACGTCTTCGTATAGCCCCCATATAACGGTACCTCCCATATTCGGTATTTTGATGATTTTTGCCACATTTTTTCACGAATTTCTCTGAATATTGGTAGTTGTAGGTCATAATGGGTCCCACTTCGTGTGGCGAATCATTGTAATTATAGATCCACGTTTTCGTATAGTCCCCATATAACGGTACCTCCCGATACTCGGTATTTTGATGCTTCTTGCCACATTTTTTCACTGATTTTTCTGAAAATTGGTATTTGGATACATAATGGATTCTAGCTCCTTTGACGAAACATTGCATGTATAGGTCCACGATTTGGTATAGCCCCCATATAACGGTACCTCCCGATATTCGTCATTTTAATGGTTTTTCCCACATTTCTTCGCGGATTTGCCTAGAAATTGGTATTTGTTGGTCTTAATGGGTTCTAGCTCTTTTGGCGAAACACTGTATGTGTAGGTCCACGTTTTTGTGTAGCCCCATATAGCCGTATTTCCCGATATTCGGTATTTTGATGATTTTTGGCAAATTTTCGAATTTTTAACGGATTTTATTTTTTTGAAAATTGTTAAATTTGTACCAAACGGTGGAGGATATAAAAAGTTCGGCCTGGCCGAACTTACTGCTTTTTAACTTGTTTATTTTTGGAACCACTGTGCATTGTTACGTTAAACGGAATTAAGTAAAGAAAACACTACAAAAACAAAACCCAAATGAAAAACAACAACGAGACAAAATTAAATAACATCAATCTGTGTGTTCGTGTGTGTGTGTGTGCATTTTTGTGTGTTTCATATGTTTTTGTTTCTTTCTTCGCACAATTTGTTTTTTCTCTCAATTTCATTGAGCATCAGTACCACTCAAACAGTGGTTATAGCAATCGCTCTGAGTGGACTTTGTGACAAGAGCAGCAATAACTGTTACAATGACCTGTCGTCGCTCTTTGGAATATCTGGCCGCTGCATTGGCCGTTGCAGTGTCCATTGCATTGTTGGCATTCGCAATATCGGCCACGCATTTCAAACGTGAACAGGCCAAGCCAGGGAACAATAATGGACCGAGTGAAAATAAACGTGGAAACATAACCGAAACCCAATTGTTAATTGGAACAACAGATGTGCCGTTGATGCCGCCAACAACAACACAATCGCCATCATTGTCGTCATCATCATCGCCCAGCAAAACGCCTGAAACGCCACAACCACCATCAATTGTGACCAATTTAATGCCTCCCGTAATGACCAACAACATAACCACTTCAACGGCCAAAAATCTCCTCATTGACTTGACAACCGTTAGCCCAGCGGTAACACCAGTCACCTCGAATAGCATCGTTCACATCGACAACGATGATTGGGATAGTTTTGAATATGCCATTGTTTCGACAACTTCCGCCTCTGCATTGGATCCTTCAACAATTGAGGTAAGGGAAAGCAAGAGAGAGGTAAATCAAGAGAGAGGTGGAGAGAGTAAGAGTGAGAGCGACAGAATGTGTTCATTCAAGTGTAACGCATTGTAAACTTAATTTTGATGTCATTTTTTATGCGGATATGTACGGATTTATAAAACTGCTTATTTTGGGTAGGGTGTATTTTTTCGGAATGATGAGAATTTTAGGATGGCGATTTATGGTCAACTGGCAAAGACTAAATTTCTAAAAGGTATAAAATATTGTTATTTTATACCCTTTAATATTGCTAATTGAACTCATAACAGAATAGCTCTTTAATTTTTAAAAATAATGGAACTAGGATCTACAGGGTGGGACAAAAAAAACTGTAATAAAGTCAAACGCCATAATTTTTACGTTTTTTATACCCTACACCAAAAGGTGGTCAGGCTATTATGTCTTTGTGCATTTGTTTGTAACAGGCAAGAGGAAACGAGATAGACCCATAGTTCCTTTTGATGATCTGCATAGAATCACATTCTGAGTCTGTCCATGTATTTTTGTGAACAAAGTGCAGTTCGCATTTATCCAGATGAAATTTTGCATTAATCATTTGTTTGGCACAATGACGAACCCTATTGAAATTGGAGATAATCGGTAAAAATTTAGATATAGCTTTCATGTATATCTTCGACCGATTTGCCTTTTATTGTGCACCAAACTTGTAATATCAGCCCGAATAGTATGAAATACATACACATACAATCAAATTCGGCCTGAAAATAAGTATGCCAAATTTGATCGAAATCGGTTCAGATATAGCTATAGCTCCCATATATATTGTTCATCCGATTTGTTATTTTTGTCCTCCGCAGCCGTAATATGCACTCTGTGACAACAATATTCAGGGAAATATATCATATATAGCTCAGAAATACCTTTGCTAAATTTTATCGAGATCGGTTCGGATTTGGATATATCTCCCATATATATAACTTCGTCCGATTTACATTTTATTGTGCACCAAACGTCTAATATTTGCCCAAATGGGATGAAATTTGGCACTTACGACCGAATTGAGTCTGGAAGATGGTATGTCAAATTTGGTGAAGATCGGTTCAGATATAGCTATAGCTCCCATATATATTGTTCATCCGATTTGTTATATTTGTTACCCACAGCTGTAATATGCACTCCGTAACAACGATATTCAGGGAAATATATCAAATACAGCTCAGAAATATCTTTGCTCGTAATGAATATTATAGCCTTTGACAAAAAATTGGCTATGCAGGTCCACGTATTTGTATAGCTGCCATGTATCGGTACCTCCCTATCTGTTTCAAATTTCGTATTTGAAGTTCGTAATGGGTACTACAGCCTATGACATAAAATAGCATATGCATGTCCAGCTCTTCGTATAGCTTCTATGTATCGGTATTTCCCTATATTCGTTATTTTGATGATTTTAGGGACATTATTCACCGGAATTGTTTCAAATTTCGTATTTGCACTTAGTAATGGCTACTACAGCCGGACGGTAACTTTGTATTTTTAAGATTTTAACAGAATCTTTAACGGATTCTATTCTTATACCCTCCACCTTGGATAGGAGGGTATATTATCTTTGTCATTCCGTTTGAAAAATCCATAAATATTCGTCGTAGACCCCATAAAGTATATATATTCATAATCAGCACGGTCCACGTTTTGGAATAGTCCCCATATAATGGTACCTCCCGATATTCAGTATTTTGATGTTTTTTGCCATATTTTTTTCACGGACTTGTCTGAAAATTGGTATTTGTAGATCATAATGGGTCCTAGTTCGTGTGGCGAAATATTGTATATATGGGTTCATGCTTTGGTATAGCCCCCATCCGATATCTCCCGATTTTTGGTATTTTTATGATTGTTGCCACATTTTTCCAAGGATTTGTCTAAAAATTGGTATTTGTTGGTCATAATGGGTTCTAGCTGCAGTGTCAAAACATTTATGTATAGGTCCACATTTTGGTATAGCTCCCTCCCTCCTCAAGATATTCGGTATTTTGACTATTTTTGCCACATTTAAAAATTGGTATTTTTTGTCCTATCCTAATGGGTTCTAGCTCCGTTGGCGAAACATTGTACGTATAGGTTCACGTTTTTGTATAGTCCCATATAGCGGTACCTCCCGATATTTGATATTTTTATGATTTTTGCCACATTTTTTTGTTGGTCATAATGGTTTCTAATGTTTCCTTTACCCTAAGGTTAGGGGTATCAAAAGTTAGGCCCGGCTGAACATAATGTTTTTTTACTTGTTTTTTTTTTTATTATTTATTTACTTAAATTTTTGAGAATGGTGGAGGGTATTCAAAGTTCGAACTGGTCGAATTTACTGCTTTTTAACTTGATTTATTCCAAAAATTCCCATCACCCCCAACGTGAATATTTCGATTGTTTACATTCATTAGGCATTCATGTTGAATTGTTGTTAACAAATTGCCCAGAAGCTATTCGCAAACAATCCAGAAGAAAAGAGTTTTAACAGCAGCAGCAATCCTTTGTTTTTCTTTTATTGTTTTTGCGAATGATGACATAATGGCACCACTTTCATCTGCACAAATGCCGATTGTTGGCGTTTTTTGGTTTTTGTTGATATTCGCATTATATGTGACTGTTATGAATTCATTCATATGATGACGATAATTTTATACTCTCATGAAAATATTGAATGGGATCGTTAATTTATTTTGTGTTTTTTTTTTTACCTAAGCCCAAATAATTTGTTGACCAATTTCTGCAATTGAATTGAAAAATTTAAAAATAATAAACAATGCGGTAAATAACATGATTGGTCAATTTAAAATGAAAACGGCCTAAAGCAAATATGGTCATTTATATTCAATTTTAAATCCACTCGAGTAATGAAATCCTGATATTCGCCCTAATTGCCTGCACTGTTGTATTGAGATTGTATGAAATAAAATTTCGTTGATTTCTCATTGTTTATTGAAACCCATTACTTAAAAAAAAGGTTTGAAATAATTAGTAAATTTTGTATATACTACCCATATTAAACCAAAAGTTAGGTTTGATATTATTCACAAGAAAAGAAACAAGCAAGCAAAGGATATAGTCGTGCGGGACCGACCATGTGATACCCTACAACACTACAATCCATTTTGGATGATTTCGCTTTTGAAATTATGTGACGGAGCACTGTCCAGATATTACCCTTAGCATTTTGACCAGGGACATTTGCCCAATATTTACGCACTCCGTCGTGCTGTTAGTTGTTGTGGTCCATTTTACAGCTAAATTTAATCCAATGGTCATCCAAAATGATAGATTCCTTCCCTGTCCTTAACTCTCTTCTCAGGCGTGTCGATTGGCTTCAATTGTGTGATTAGGAAATTATTTCTGTTTTTGGTTCATTTAAACCCCTAAATATTCTGCGATCATCTCCAAAAGCAAGAGGCCCCTCTTTATCTCTAAATTTAGACTCATCTATATGATTTGCTTGTCCGCGATTTTTGGCTATAATCGTCAACGATATCAGCATAAAACAAGTAAGCAATGGCTATAGTCGTGCGGGGCCGACCATGTGATACCCTACAACACTACAATATGTTAATAGCCCCCTTATGTCCAAATCCATTTTGGAAGATTTCGCTTTTGAAATTATGTCATTTTGACCAGGGACATTTGCCCAATATTTACGCACTCCGTCGTGCTGTTAGTTGTTGTGGTCCATTTAACAGCTAAATTTAATCCAATGGTCATACAAAATTCTAGAATTCTTCTCTGACCTTAAATCTCTTCTCAGGCGTGCGGATTGGCTCAATTGTGTGATCAGGAATTTTTTTCTGTTCTTGGTTCATTTGAACCCCTAAATATTTTGCGATCATCTCCAAAAGCAAGAGGCCCTCTATATCTCTAAATTTAGACTCATCTATATAATTTGCTTGCCTACGATATTTGGCTATATTCGTCAACGAAATCAGAATAAAAAAGCCAGAAGTGGTCTATTCTACCCGCTGTCCTAAACTCTAACTTGATGCGAGAATTCGTATCCTTTGGTTTCTATACCTTTATAACGGCTGCAAAATCAGGAACATTTTTAGTTTTTGATCCATTTTAATCCCTAAATATATTGCGGACATCTTTGAAAACAATAAGCCTAGCTCTTCTGAGCCTAACCCTACCCTAAATAAAACCTTGTCAAAATTTTCGTGAGGAGCTGTATATAATAACCCCAACCTGTATTGAAAGGTGAAAAAATATTACAAAATATATACTTCAATATTATAAGTCAAAATGAAAAAATCTCATGCGATAAAAAAAATGAAAAAAAAAATAAAAAAATCACAAATACTACAAAATCTATAATAACATCATTATTGGCATCTTTGTATGCGACTTCTTATTTTAATTTTATTCTTTTTGCCAAGAAAGCATTCTAAATTGACAAAATTTGTCAAAATCGGTGCAGCCATTCCTGAGATATAAGTATTCTAGTTAACATCCTTTACTTACTTTGTATATACACATGGTATATATTTCGTTATATATATCCGATATATTGACCATTGGTATCCCCAACTCCATTGCAAATTTCGTGCGGATCGGGCCATAATTGCGGACGGACGGACATACATAGCTACATCGACTCATCTCGGCGATGTAGGAAGATCCATATATACTTTTCTATGTGGGAAATCAATATTTCGATGTGTTACATAATTTTTGGCCCAATCACACTTATAATACCCCCCAAACACATAGTGTTGTATGGTATAATTAAAAAATGTTATTGTCCTAAGAAATTCTATACCAAATTCTTGAATAAAAACTGACTATCGTTTATTTCCCGGATTTATTACAAAGGCCTTTCGAGCCTGTCCTAAAAAAACTTAACAAAAAAATCATCGCTACTTTGCTGTGACAAAGATTTGCTGGTAGAACTTGAGTCGAACTTGAATGGTTCTGGTATTTAATTCGAATATGCTCAATAAGTTCGAAATGAACACTTCATTTTAAAGAAC